CATGGTTAGCCCACTACTATCAGACACCGCCCAATAATATATTGCAAATGTAGAACGCAGGCCCCAGGCCTCCCCTTCTGTATATGAATATATATATATATATATTTTTATGTGTGTTCTGGAGGTCTTCCTGTAGTTCATCGTTGAGAAGGTTTGTTTTTGTGTGTGTGTGTGTGGTATGACTGTTCTGTTCGATTGAATCGGGCGGATATCGCCGCCGCCGCCGCCTGCCGCCACGCTCCATGCCATATGCTGCTGCGCCGAGGGCGTGACGGGCATCGTCTTCAAAGCAAGACCCCGGCACTCGCCGGAAGCCTGCCGCCCGGACTGATTGGGCTGCCAGAAACGGCAAAGCAAGCAATAGGCAGTACGACTCATGTATAACAGCTTTGACGCGCCCTCTTCGGGGACAACCACGCAGCAGGGAACCCTTTGGTGACCTCACACTTGGGATGACTATCGTTTGATTGGCCAACTCCTCGATAGACTGAGCCGGCTTCCCACGGCTTTTTCAAGCCTGCTTTTCTGTGTGGTCTCAGGAAATGGCAACAGGGCCGGGCCAAGTTTGTTTTTCACAATCTGTCTCTGTCCTTGTTGAAAAGGCGAGAAGAAGGAGATTGTTGTTCAGACATGGTTCAGCAAGTGGTTGGCCCATGTAGGCACCTGATAGGCAAATAGCTTTTCATCTTGGCAGAAGTGACGTGCATTTGCAAACCAGCGCCTTGGAGCATTTTTGGTACCAATGTGTGCCATGGCATCGACTTGAACACTTCGGGTGTGTAGGGGGTGGTCATCAATCCTGCACCAAGGCAAGGATTTTGGTTGATGCACGCATGACAGTGACCCACCTGATCAGTATGATACAGTGTTGGCACAGTGCTGTGGCATTGTTCTCGTCGGATGATGAGTGTATGTTCTGCTGGTTCTGCTGGCCGAAGCATGCAGGAGTACTGGATGCATGCAGACAGACAGACACACAGGCCAAGAGGCAACCATACACACGCATGGATATATGTATGTGCACATTGTCCAGAAGATGCAGCTGTAGAAGATGCACCTGTTATTGGCAGTTGTTTTGCTTTTTTTCTGCCGAGTTTTGTGCAACAAGCACTTCGCAATGTGCCTGGAGCTCAGGCTGCGTGGTGAAGCAATCGGTGCGGCAGACGGATCTGCCTTTGAAGGTGGGCACTTATGCCTACATTGAGATGCAAACACCACTGGCAATATGTCGAATTTACGCTTTGGCCCGACGGAAATGTTAGCAGCCCTCAGCCTAGATAGGAGACGCACTGTGGATCCCTGCCAGTGGAGTCTGACCAGAGCGTAGAGGTTCTGAATGAGCTTTGTCTGCAACTTCTCAATGTTGCCATTGTGCAGACGCACTTTTTGCACAAAGCGGGGAAGGGGCAATATTGTCCATTGCTAACCTGCACTACAGTACCACAGCCCCCAAGCGCACCCCAGTTGCGAGTAAAACGAATCGTGAAGCTGACTCTTGGGCCTCCCTTCCTTAGATCTTGCAGAATGCAGTATATAGATAGTCAAGCATTTTGCTGAGCGGCTGGGTGGCTGGTAGGCCGCTGACGTAACCTCCAGCTTAAATACAAGCTATCGAGCGAGCGCTCCACACCAAAAGGTCAAGATGGATCGCATCCCATCCGCCAGGCCATCTTGGCAGAGTTCGAGCACGCCAGCGCCTTGTGTCACCCCAACATCCTCCAGGCGCTATGGTTGTTCAGAAGTCTTTCCCGAGGACATTCGAATCAACGTACTTGTCTTTTTGTCTTTTGTCCGGACCCCGAGGAGTTTCCATGTGATTTTCCGTCTAGGTTTTATTGCTGCGGACTACTGGGTGCCGGCCAGAAATGAGAGTAGCTGAGTAGACAAGGTTTGTGCAGCTGAAGCGAGGCATATGATTTGATTTGACCAAACCGGCCCTCCGAACATGTTATTTTTACAGATGTCTTTGTTTCTGCAATTAGACCGTGGCTGAATGTGCGGTGTTTATCTGGTTCATGTCCTTCATAGGGGAAAGCTTGCGCGAGGCCAAACATTTGATTGGGACCGTGGCAGTTACTGCCACATGTAAGGGCGTCCTCGCATGCACCCTGTGAGCGCTTCCTCAGAGGTTCTCTTTGAAAGACGCGGTCAATAGCCCAGCCTTGTCCCCAAGAGGGTCACTCATTTCTTCCACCACTCTGCAGGTTCGTGAATATTTTGTGGACTCTTTGAACGTCTATGTCATCGCAGAGTGGGCCGAAGGCGCAGTGAACGCGCGTTGTTTTGAACACCTTTAGATTGCACACCGGAAAGCAGAGGCAACGGTAGGATTTCATGGGCCTCAAGTGGCTGTGCGATATTTGTCCATGTCAAGCGGAATGATCAGTCCGAATGGTTGGTTGAGACTGTTCGCTGGGGTTGAGAACGTTGGATGGGGTTGAGATCGTTGGATGGGGTGAGGATGGGGTTGAGAACGGCATCCCTGGTGAGAATTCGCTGCGAACCAGACATGACAGTCTTCAGGTAGCCAGCCCCTAAACTCCGCTGAACTCTCAGCGCCACCCAATCGGGAGAAGCCTCGAGGAACAAAGTAAGAGAAATATATTTCTATAGAGAACGTTATTTAGCCTGCAGAGAATGCAAGGCAACCTTCATGACCCACCCCTGCCTATTCTCTTTCACAATTCAAACTCCTTCCTATCTTGGATGAGAACCGCCCACACACGAAAGATTTGCGGTCACCCACAACGACAGATCCCAAGAGAACGATGTTGGGGTGAGAGCGTTGGTTGGAGTGCGGTTTGGCATGAGAAACTGCTCGGAATTGCAAGTTACCGGAGCAGCTGTGAAGGCTACTTTGCCAAAGTCAATGCCTTGGTAGGGCTACGGGAACGTTGAATGGGGTTGAGATCGTTCGCTGGGGCTGAGAGCGCTGGATGGGGCTGAGAACGATGGGGGAAAATGCGGAGCCAGCCTTTTGCATTGGTATGGGCTGGTCCTGTCTTGTTTTCCGAAAAGGTAGCCGACCGAGGGAAACACTTTTCTTGGGCAGATTGTCACAAATCCGCCAAGGTGCATCTTGAGAACGTGGAATGAACCTATCAAAGCTAGCTAGTTAGAGCCACCCTCATGGCAGTTGCTGCCCCTCCTGAATGATTTGTTGTGCTTCTTCTGAACCCTTTCTAGTTTTCTTTCAGATTGGACGCTTGCAATTGCCCTGTGGCCACTCCAGGCGGGGAGCTCTCAAGCGCCCGGCACTCGTTTGGGACAGGGGGATGTGTCCCCAAATGACGTGGGTTTTGGGGCTGCCCCCCCCCCCCCGATTTCCGTCAATATCATCTCCCAAACAGCGGGCCCATTGTTGATTTGTAAGCTGCTCCTTGTTTTTCCTCAGTCCTTCTATTTTCAGGCACTGAAATTTGTGTTTATCAGACCAGTGATCCCCAGCATGAAATCAGACGTGTGTCTGGTCAACGGAAGCACGACATGGAATCATGGCCAAGCAATATGCCATTATGCACATGCCAAGAGTTCAGTCACGCAAAGGGTGTCTCTTGAGGGTACCCTTGAGGAGCTTCCCCGTCCCAGAAAAGTATGAAATGTATGCAATCGGTTGCATCAACTTTGTTTCCAATAACATGCTGAAATCCAAGCTGAAATCCAAGCTGATTTGGGTGTTTTCTCGATCTACTTCCTGGGTGTTTTCTTTGTGTTGGGGGGTTATTTCAGATATACCTTGAGTACAGGTCAAATATACCTTGCTGTGTTTTTTTTTATAGCAAATATAATTTCAGAAAACGTGATGCCTAGACATCGCTTCTTTCCCAAAACCATTTCCCGAGAGAGGACTTCGCCCCAAGGTCCTGCGGGAAGCACGGGAGCAGCGCTTCAGCCTCTCCAGGCGCTGGGTGGCTGCTGTGGCCACGCAGCTGTTGCAGCTCGGACATGTTTTTGCTGTGGGGGGAGGCCAAACAAGTGGGGGGGGGTTGTTGTTCGGGGGGGTGGGGGGGTGGGGGGGTGGGGTGGGGGTTCGAACAACAAGTGGGCGGGGGGGGGAGTTCGGGGTTTGTGCCATCCTCGCTAGTTGCGGCATGTTGAACGCCACTTCGAATTGGAGCTGTTTTGAATGTTTGCTATGCCTCATGTTTGACACGTCACCTTTTTGTGCTGGCCTCGTGATGTGTCAAGTCTCGAAGCCTGTTTCGGTCAGGATGCCGGTCACAAGAGGAAACAGGCCGCAGATCCTTACCGCATCCACTCACAATTTTCTACAGGAAAAACAATTGGCCAGGCACGCCTTTTTCCCTTTAGGGTTTCCTTTAAATCCAACCAAAAAGGGTTTCCCTAAAAAAACACGCCCAAACTTCAATCCCTCAATAAAGATGTTCTTGTTGGCCTGGGGCTTGAGGCAGGTGTGGTCCAGCGTTCGTGACATGAGCCTAGGCGAGCTTTGCGGCATTGCCACGACAAGCACCAGCTGGTCCATGCGGTGCCTGACTTAATTTGAGGGGACGGCTGCTTCCTTTGTCTCCGTGTGTATTTCATAGTTATGCTTGTATCATGTTGATGGTTTGTTTTCCTTATTTGTGTTTCTACGCCTTGGGCCTTCTTGTTTTCTGCGTATATTATTATTATTATTCCTTATTTGTTTTTGTGTTTTTGCTTCTTCTTCTTCTTCTTTGCTTTTGTCCTATGTTTATGCTCACCTATTGTTATGTGTAGTTGTCTTGTTTAATCATTATTGCATTGCGTTGGCACCTCCTTCTATGGCATACTATGGTCTTGTTTCCTCCTTCTTCTTGTCCTCCTTCTTCTTCTTCTTCGCCTTTCTTGTTTAAGACAACAAGTACAAGTTGTTGTTAATTTACGGTTTTAGCTCTTGGGTTTATTATTGTTATTTGTTTGCATTATTATCATTATCATGCGTGCTATGTTTCAAAAACAAATGTCGCCTCCTGTTTCGTTTTCTTTGGTTATTGTCATCATCATGCATCCCTTTCCCTTTCTTTATTGTTGTCCTGCTCCGCTTATGGTGTTACCTTCGTTCATTATTATTGTTCTTCCTCCTCTGCTTCCTCCCTATTTCTCTTCTTTTTTCATTGTCTTATTCTTCCCTTCTTCCCTCCTTCTTGGCCTGTTCTTCTGCATATTTGTCTCTTCTTGCCTATCTGCTTTCTCCTTTTTGTGCTGTGTTTATATTCTTCTCTGCTTTGTTTTGAAAGTATGCCATTCTTTGCTTCTCCTTTTCTCTTCTTCTCTTCTGCTCTTCTTCTCTTCTTCTTTTCTTCTTATTCGTTTTATCCCCTGTCTGTCTGTTCATTTCGTCCCGGTTTCCTTGCACTCAACCCTTGAAAGCAGAGAGGCGTCCCCAAAGTCCACAGCGCCTTCAAGAATAATAATAAGAACCCTGCTCTCCGCATCCGGAAAAAACAAATCGTTTGTTCGAATCCAACAATTATGAATGGAATGATTGGACACCATGCATGATCAAACAACTTGCCACTCGAGAGCGGATCTTTGACTGACTTGGCCTGTTTCGTGATGCCCTCCGGCCAATATTCCTTTTGGTCTCCGGTGTTTCCATGGTTGGCTAGTTGTACTCGTAGTTGGCTCAAGCGTTGTTTGATGCCTCCCTGGACAACAGCTGATCTTTTGACAGTTTGGTTTCTCACACTTAGAGTCCTTGTCTAGCGTGAGAGGCCCAACTGTTCACCGTTGTTTCCAGTTTGTTTTGGGACAAGTAAGCTTCTGTCGAAGTGAGCACCAATCAATGAGAGAAGCGCAATCTGAGCTGCAACCCTGGCAAATGGGCCCTGGGCACGGCCATGCCACAACGGGGAACGCCATGAGAAGGAACTCGATTGGCTCAATGTCGATGTTGATTGCAGTTTTGGCACTGGCTGCTTTGCAAGCGATCCACGGAAGCATTTGGTACATGATGGAACTGCATATGACAGCAGACGCGGTGTTCCACTTCTGCTTGTGTCCTGAGAGCCTTGTTAGGCTTGAGGACCCTGATGCTGGTGCAAATCAATGTGTGGGTGTGCCGCGCATGGTTTGTCATAGCTGGTTGGTCCGAACTGTGGTTCAGCACTGGACGCGTGACATGGCAACTCCTTTGCCGTGAGAGCCAACATGTCAGATCGCGACTGACATAAGTCGGATGTTTTTTTTGTGCGTGTGTGTGTGCGCGTTCTTTTTGAGGTGCCCCTTTTGGGGAGGGTTTGCAGCTAAGGGAAACCACAAGGAAATAAGACATTCGCAGAGTTCCTCTATTTTTAGACAAACCCATGCCACGTTGCTTGGGCAACGTTTTTCCCTTCTTGATGTGCTGAGGACGTGAAGCCCGACAATGTGCTGCTTCTTGAGAAAGGTTCCATCAAGGTGGGGGGCGGTTCATGAGAGAGCATGCGTCTAGCAGATTGTTTAGGAAAACGTATCCCTCAGAACAGGTGTCGCAACACTTGTTGCAGCTTGACCTTCACTTTGTTTATCATCGTTCTTTCCCTCTGTTGTTTATTCATCTACTTTTTCCTGATGTGTTCCTTTTCTTTAAACATGCAGGTTCGCTGCTGATCAGCGGCAACAGTTCAGGGGTCCAAATCGGTCCAAATCACCATCTGCCAGGTTCCGTGGCGAAGGTTCCTTTGGGGTTCTTTTGCTTCAGGTTACAAGTTACCCCAATCACTTGGTTCCTCTCAGTAGGCTTCCCTTCAAGAATTCGATGGTAGCTGGCAAAGTGACATTCCCGCATTATCCGCCAAGAACAAGCAAGATTAGGGTGGCATGTTTGTATGTATATCAACGCAATGTATATATATATATACATAAAATCGGGCCCCCCTGGGAACTAGACGATGCTGTGCACAAAGATGTATATATGTGTATATTGTCACATATGCACTTTCATTCAGCTCACAGCCCTGCCCTCGCCGTGGTTTTCTTTCAGGAACCCAAGGGCCAATGGGTAGAGCCGGTGGTGCTACTGGCGGACTTTGGCAACGCCCAGCGGGGCGTTTCCGACGCGGGAATGATCACCATTCCGATGGCCGGGCCCTTGGCCGGTCAATGCGGGAGTCTTGGGAGGTGCCGGTGAGAGATGCAAACCTCATCGTAGAGCCGGGCGGTCGGCACATGATTTGTAAACCCCTGAGTACAGAAGCTTGGTTGTCCAGCCGACTGAAGGCACCCACAAGGCCCCCTAATTGTTTGGGGCACCTCCCAAACCCCCCTCTGATTTGAAACGCCCCTTTCCGGCCCCAAATTCAAAAAGGAAACAACAACCTTGTTTAAACACAATAATACTAGTATTACCAAATCCATGCCAAAACTTTTGCCAATACTCTCCCATTTCATAGTCTCCAGGGTTGCCGTTCCAGAAATGAGAAAGACGGCTAGCCAGAAACAGCAAAGGTCTTACAACAGTTTGTTTACAGCGACAAGGTTTGACAAGCTCGTAAAGGGTACCCCCCTTCAAGGCTGGCCCCCCCGAACAACACAACGCCCCCTCCAATTAATCCTGGCCCTTTCCGGCGATAGAAAATACAAAATGCAGTTTCCTATGCAGTCCTATTTGCCAGACAGGCGGGGGACCCTGCATTTTCACAATCTTGTCAACCTGGAGAGGGGGGGGTGGTCTACTAGTCCTGTTCCCCCGCTCAGGAGCATCTACAGGAAACGTGCCATGTTTTCCCAAAATGCCAGAAAACCGTGGTCGCCCATTGTTTTTTGCCAAAATATCTGGTCATGGACAGATGTCCGTTCCTACCGGCCGGAAGCTTGCAGCATGCAGGGGGATCCGCGCTACGCCGCGCCGGAGCTGCACGAGGCTGATTGTGGGTCTTCGCGGACCACCCAAAATTGGTTTACCGGATGCCTAGGGCAGTTAGGCATGACCCAAGCAACTCGCTAGGTTGCTTTGGGCCGGATGTGTAGCGATCGATGCCATGTTCAATCTTAAAGGCAGCCCCAGACTGGGCTCCTGTGTCCCCAAGTTGTAATGACTTGCATCACGGACGCCAGGCCAGATGCTTTGTGCACCCCTATGAGCCCTTGCGCCTGGACCGGAGGTTTCTCTATGCGACGGACATATGGTCCCTTGGCATGTCGAGAGGGCCGAAGGAAAGGTTGGCCTCGTGGTCCCTGCTGTTGGTAGACAATGGCTTCGCGAAGAAACTGAGGAGATACGGCGCAAAAGTTCGCTTGGGACAGAGGTAGAAGGCGTCATCATTTTGCTTGACTGATCACGCGTAGCTCCGTTGTGACACCTCTGGACAGACAACGGAAACAGCACGTACCAGGGTGGAACAGGCTGGCAGGTCTTTGACTCACATCCCCTCTTCAGATAGGTCCTGCTTTCAAGATGCTCTTGATAACGTTGACTCGTGTCGTTGACCAAAGAGCCAACTTCTTTTCTCCAGCTTGTGCATTTCGTTTTGTGGTCGCCACCCTGCTTCACCGAAAGTGAAAAGTGAACCAAAAGGAGAACTCAACCTACAGCACGTCACAAGGAGAACCACAAGCGAAGCTAGCACTAAAACAGCATGGAGAGCACACAAACCCAAACCAGTAAAGCAGGTTCACAATTTGGAAAGTGGCGCCAACCAGACAACCGGCATGGATTCGAGCGCCGACATAGAGAGGCAACGAAGCAGATGTCAGACTGAAAACCACCCACAAACAACGTGAACAGCGTACCTAAGCCAAACACGGCATCCAAAAGAGGAGGTGTGGCAAAAATAGGGTCCCTGTTTGGGACCGTTGTCAGTGTTATTTTCCTTGGGCTTCAGCAGAATGTTATTCTGAGACCCAGACCCAGAGCCATCTCGAGGATGCTGGGCGCGACCGTCTACGAGCTTCTCTTCCTTGAGCTTCCCTTTTTGGGGGCCCGTGTCTCAGCCTCGAGTTTGAGACTTGGGACTTAGGATGTTCTCCAATTTGAAAGCTGCACTGCCGCTTTTTTTGTTCAGTTTTGAAGTGCACTTTGATTGCAAGTCACCTGCGACGTAGGGCTTAACCTATGGGGTGTCCGGTTCCCGTGGTCCCGTGTTTTGACAGACACCTAGTGGCGGCCAGCGGCACCCCAAAAAAACCTACGGATGCTTGGCACGCCAAGAAATCGGGGCTGAGAAGATGTTCATCCAATCAACATCTGAAACTGCCGTCACGCTGAGCGACGATTTTCGCTTGGGCTTGAAAGTGCGAGGGCCTACATCAATCTCCGTGTAACTGCATCTTGGTGGACGCCACCGTCATGCGAGATGTGTGAAAGTCCGATTTCCAAGGCTCGTCGCAAACCAGTTGAAGCAACATGCAGCAACATTTGGGTGCTTTTTTGAGGGTCCCTTTTGGGGTTGTTTTAAGGGGTTGTTTTCAGGACAACCAATGGAAAACCAGCTATTTTGCGGGGTGCTCTATTTTGACGCACGCGCATGTGCTTTGTGGGCGGGGTAGAACCCTAGACGGAGGCCAAATCAGCACTGGTGAACATATTGCTCGTTGGTGTAGTGCAGTGGGGAGTAAGGACTGGGGAAGCCTAGGGCCTAGGGTCCTCCCTCACTGGAACATGAGAAGTGGTTTAGCAGGGTTCTGAGAACCTTTCTTGGGGGGCAGGATGCTCTCTTATAATTTGTGTTTTGTTGTTTTGCTGGCTGACTTGAAAGCAGTAGTACTGGGTGCATCTCCACAAGAGACATGTCCAAAAGGTTGGCGCGTGGCCTTCTTTCGACGCCATCCTGCGGGGGACTTCCATCAAGGGCATCAAGTGAGCAGGGCGTCAAGTGAGGGCCGGCCCTATGCATGAACAACCCTGAATTTCAAGTTTGGTGTGGCCAAACTTGTGAACCCTTTCCGGGCCCTTGTCTTGAACTAGGTGTTCCTGAAAATAGGGGCCCCCTTTCCCTGGAAGCTGCTTGATCTTAAGACGTGCCTGCTTTACCTTGGAACCGTCAAAGCTGCCGGCTTTGCCGAGTGAGGCCTTTGAGGGGAGCCACAGCGAGTTCCTGGAAAAGAGCCTTGGCAAATCGCTCAGTGGCCCCAAGCAAACCTGTTGCATGTTGTCGTTTGCAGTTTCCGTTGTGTGATTAACTTCAAAAGGTGAACTAACCTTTCAGGCCTTCAGGGTCCAATTCTTGAGAGGGTTCTTCACAGGCTTGCGCTATACAAGAGCAAATATGATAGAAGTGGTGGATCAATGGAAGGCTGGAAGACCTGTCCACGATCTCAGGCACACCCAAATACTCATATGACCCTCAACACAGGGGGTTCCCCGACAAGATGACATCATGTTCCAGTTCCGCGACAAGATGACATCATGTTTTTGTTTGATCCCACCCAACACGTGGTAAGCACCCCCGCCCCATGGCCCCAACAAGTGCGTGCTTTGCGCGGGTACTCCAGGGCCCCATGGCTGGAGCATGCCGGCAACGTGCTTTCAAAGATCCTGCGAACTGCTTCAAACGTCTTTGTGGAAGTGCTGAAAATGCAAGAGTGCTGCCGCGATGGGCTTCTAGATCCAATAATATCGGCGATGATGTTCATGAAGCATGCCACACAAATAGACGACTCTCACTTTGTCAACTTGCAGGGGACTTGCATTTGCACTGTTTCTTGCAGTGTTTCCAAAGCCGCGTCCATTTCACATGAGCCCTTGCAGTGTTTTGTGACGTTTCCAATGCACTGAATAACATGTTTGTGTTGAACAGCAGCTGTTTTCCCAGTGTTTTTGCTCGATGACCATCCTGATGTTCTACTTTGAGCGCCTCGGCAGCTTTCAGATTACGCGAACATAATCCTTTTATGTTCGCGAGCATCGAAGTTGCTTCTTAAACAATATAAACATTGAATCCTTGAATCCCCCCTGTAAACGCTCCTAAAGCAGGTTGCCCTGTCTGTTTCCACGCGTCTGTCTCGGGCAACCCCACGTCCGGACCGTCATATGACTCATGTGTTCTCTGTTTCCGTTCCTGGAGAACTTGATTTTCCCATCTGGCCTCCCTTTGAGGGCCTTGACATCCTACCTTTGGAATCCCTCTTCCCGGCTTTTGCCCCTTGCTGCACGTTATATGTTTTGGTGTGTGTGTGTGGCCTTTTGGCTCCTGGATTGATTTCTTGCCACCTGACTTTTCGGAGTGAACCACTTCCAGGATTGAAAGCCTTTGATTTATCCAAACACGCGAAACCTTGTCTGCGAGTGCGTGAAGGCATGCGCCTCAGCCGACCAAGGCTGTGCGATCGGGGCCAGCAGAACCCTTATGCGAGATTTGTGCTCTCCTCAGGTCGCGCTTTCGCTTGGCGGGTTGGATCAGGGCCATGGCCAACAGTCATAGCAGGATTGCTTAGACTGCGATGTGAGCGCTCAGCCACAGGACTGGTACACTCGGCAAATTGGTCATCAACCTTTGCTTTCCGGACGCTTTCTGCACATGTCCATGTTCTCGCGCCCGAATCGTTATGATAGACGTGTATGATAAGACGCTTGTGCTGCAAACTATCCACGATATATGGCTGGAGTCTTCCAGGAGAAAGGCCCATCGACCGTCACAGTTCCATTTTGTTTGTGTACGTCAACCATGTCAAAGGGAATCTCACAAATAGATCCAGATGCCGGGCTGTTCCGTTGTGTTCTTGTTGCTGTCTCCTTTGCATTTGTGCCAAAAGGGTTCCGCTTCGATTTGCTTTCACTGGCCTTGCCTCATGAGGCGGGACAAAGTCTTCCCATCCGCGCGGAGGAGCAAGGGACACCCAAAGAGGCGCCGACTCGCCCCTAGTCAACGTATAGGTGGCTATGTGCCAAAATAAGGGGCCCCCCAAAATGTTTGGTTTCCCTCTAGCCAAGCCACCTACCGTACCCTCCTAAACACAAACAAACAAACACAGACACACAGACACAGGCGTACGCACACACATGCGCGCTCACACGACACACGCCCACACACCTCGCGAACGCGAACGCTCGCACACAGAGAGAGGGGAAGAGAGAGAAAGAGAGAGAGAGAGAGAGAGACAGAGATAAAGATGCACGCGTACACCTGGAGGCACGCGCACGAACTCGCACGCGCGCACACACACACACACACACACACGAGTATAGGCATGGGCGGAATCCAGGGAACCTTACATAAGGGTTTTGCGACATCACCCATGCAAGATTCTTTTATAGAGCCCTCGTGTTGCGTCAGTTAATTTGTCCGGATTGATGTATTGGTGGTTCTCAAAAGTTGGACCCCCATTCCGGTGGCTTTTTGGTTCCTGTTTTTCTTCAAAGCCTTCCAGAAAGGGGATCTGGTGTGCATGCGCAAAGAGATGGCTAGATGAATGGGTGCGGACCGCAGTGAGAAGAAGACAATTGATTTGGTGAAGAATTGATTTGGTGGGGCTATCCGAGCGTGTGAAAAGCAAATGCCCCCTTGTGGAAGGCCCCATTGGGTCAATAGAGGGAGCGCTGAAGTCCTGGTTCGGTGTAGAACAAGTATTCAATTTTACTCTGTGAGTCCATACTCTTTTTTTTGGTATACGCATACCCATTCTGGCAAATATTGTGACTGCGGCAAAAAACACGTGAGGCAAGCGTTTTGGTCAAATGTTGCGGGATGATAAAAAATGTAGATATTTGGGTTTGTTTCTTGGCGAAAGAGGTTGCGCCTTGCGCAGGCGGTGGAACTGCTCCGGCAGCTGCTGGATCTGTCGCATCAGAAGAGGACAGGCGTGACAGTTTCGGGATTTTCCAGTTGACCCGCAGGAATTCCGTGCACCCCTCCCCTCTTTCGGAGGGTAAATCTGCAGATGGGAGCCTTATCCCCCCAACTGTATTTCTCGGGTCAGAGCGATCGTCAAGCACTCTGCTTCAGCCCGGAAAATGAGAACAAGTTGCAAAGTGTGGTCCTTTCTTCTTCGAGTCTCTCCCCCACAATCAGACCCTTGAAGCCCTCTTCTTTGGAGTTAAACCAGAGTGAGCGATTCTTTGCATTTCACACGCAACAAGCAACCTAATGTTGACCCAGGATGAATAAACCCGTCCCATTATTATTTGGGGGGTCTTCCCTCCAAAAGTCATGAATCCCCACTAAAAGGAGACACCCCACTATTAATGAACCAGGAATTTAGGGGTTTATGAATCCTGGGTTAACATTATCCGAGTGCCTCTTGCCCAGAAACCGGTCCGGAGCGGCCCAGTTAGGAGTCCGGCCGCAGAGGCGCTCCGGGCGCCCTGGCTGGCGAGGGAGGTCTCGGCGCAGCGGCAGCTCAGCCCCGGCCGGGCCCAGGCGGAGCGTGCGCGAAGCATCGCCCTTTGCGTTTGGGGCTTGGTCTTCCGTGAATTGTTCCCTCTCAGCCAGCGATGTTATTTTATTTTTCGGAAAGGAGTGTTCTGCAAATGGTGGACCCTCTTTTGGCTGGCATTTGAAGGGCCAGCAAAAGGAAGTCAGCCATATTTCGGGACCCCTGTTTTGAGACACTGGTTTCCAGTTTCAATCGATCAGTTTCGTATTTAGATGGTATTCATGTTTCGTACACGGGAGCCGTCTTCTAGCCCTGGACGCCAGAGCCGAATTAGCTTAAACTTTGAGGCACGGATGGTTGGTAGCCCAGTAGAGGGTGGCACCCTTGTTATTTCATTTGGGGTATTACCTTGTTCGGAAATTGTCAATTTCAAGCAAGGTAACGAAGCAGCGATCTTTTTCGAAAAACCCTTTCCCTGTGACGAGCACCGGCTTTTTGCTGAAACTACTCAGGGGAGGAGATGACGTTTGCATTCAAGGGATACTCCAGACGGTCCTCGCCCCGTCTCACAGAGACTTTGATGACTCTGTTCACACCAAGGTTCCGTGTCGAGGATAAACTCTAGCATTAAGAGTTTTCGTCCAGCCAACCGTTGAGGGAGGTTAAAATAATTTATTTTGTGATTTGGGAGTGAGGCTTGGAGCAAGAAAATAGCAATCTGAAAATTAAGAGCAAACTGAAAAGCAAGAAAAAAGTGATTCACTTGCAACAGTTGACACAAAAAAGCAAGAAAATAGTGATCAGATGGTCATCAAATAGTGATTTGGGCACCTCAAAATAGCAAGGATCCAAATAGGGATTATATGGGAGATCACTATTTTCCTGATTTTTTTTGCAGGCGACAACCCTCAAAACCCGAAATCTGCAAATCACAACGGGAGATCACTATTTTCTTGCTTTTTTTGGAGTGGGAAATCACTATTTTCTTGTTTTTTTTGGAGGCGACGACCCTCGAAACCCGAAAATCTGCAAATCACAACGGGAGATCACTATTTTCTTGCTTTTTTGGAGTAGGGAAATCCATATTTTCTTGTTTTTTTTGGAGGCGACGACCCTCGAAACCGGAAATCTGCAAATCACAACGGGAGATCACCATTTTCTCGCGCCCCCGGAGGGGGAAACCCATTTTTTTTGGAAGCGACGACCCTCGAAACTCGAAAATCTGCAAATCACAACGGGAGATCACTATTTTCTTGCTTTTTTGGAGTGGGAAATCCATATTTTCTTGTTTTTTTTGGAGGCGACGACCCTCGAAACCGGAAATCTGCAAATCACAACGGGAGATCCCTATTTTCTTGCTTTTTTGGAGTGGGAAATCACTATTTTCTTGTCTTTTTGGAGGCGACGACCCTCGAAACCCGAAAATCTGCAAATCACAACGGGAGATCACTATTTTCTTGCTTTTTTGGAGTGGGAAATCCATATTTTCTTGTTTATTTTGGAGGCGACAACCCTCGAAACCGGAAATCTGCAAATCACAACGGGAGATCATTATTTTCTTGCTTTTTTGGAGTGGGAAATCCATATTTTCTTGCTTTTTGGGCAGGCGATGACCCTCGAAACCCGAAAATCTGCAAATCATAGCGGGAGATCACTATTTTCTTGCTTTTTTGGATGTTGTCGCCTGCAAAAAAAACACAAGAGAATAGGGATTTCCAATTCCAAAAAAGCAAGAAAATAGTGATCTCCCGTTGTGATTTGCAGATTTCCGGGTTTCGAGGG